TAGGCTGACCCTTACCTTGTATGGAACCAGGTGTTTCTGCCCTGCAAGGGGTGGGTAAAATGTTTCACAGAGGTCATGTTTGGGGCTGTGATGGTCAGGGCTTGGCACATAGGAAAAGCTGCAGAAACAGCAGAGTGTACGCTCTCCAGCACAGCATGCATCCAGAGCCCCTCTGCAGGATCTCAGCCTAAAGCCAGGCTACCTGTCGGCTTGGCTCGAGAAGTGGAAAGGGTTTTGTAGCTGATGCTACTGTTTCATGTAAAAAGTGGGGTCCCCGGAACATTGCATTGTGGTTTAGCTGGTCTAGTGTCCACAACAGGGATGAGAAAGGAAGCTGAGTACAGGTGGGTCACCCTCTCAAACTGCTTCTCCTCTGGGAGTAGAAGACATCCATGTGCTGGGGCCCGGGATGCCAGTGCCACCAGAGCTATTGGGGCCCCCTAAACCCAGGGCAGAGCCACAGAGAAATGAGTCTGTGTTTAAACCTTGAACCAGAGCTCAGACATTCAAATGAGCATTGCCATTTGAGGCAGATTCCTTGGGAATGTATCTGCCTGTTCCAAACATGCACTGGTATTTCCAGAACTCCTCTTTGGGAACCACCTTTGGGGCTGTCTTGGGTTAACATCAGCTGTTTTCCTAACCTGTCACTCCTGCCCGACCCCAGAAATGGCAGTACCTTACATGGTGGACCACCTTATCCTCCAGACCTGGCCTGGAGTGAATTTTGGCTGTTTCCACACATTGAATCCCTTTCAAGGAAAAAACACAGCCCACTAAAGGGATTCATAAGAGTGCAATGCAGGCTGGGAAGGTGACTTCCAGAAAGTGAGTGTAAAGGGGTTTGCAGCTACTCTGAAGGGGCAGGATTTGGTTGGTTGGGTAAGTTCTGGGATGTTGGTAACTGTCTGTTAGCAATGAGGCTGGTGGGATTCCCCGCCATTTCTGGGATGCTGGGAGGAGAGGAGGCAGCTGCATACTACCGGTTCCCGGCTCCCAGAACAGCTGAGTACACCCAGCTCCCGGCGCCATGAGCAAGAGCGGGGGAGAAACACAGGCTTCCTCAAAGGGAGGCTCATGGCCTGCTCCTTGGTGCTCACACCCAGGGCCACGAGACTGAGAGTGGGCTCAGTGTGGACCTTGGGTCTTGGTGTTCCTAGTCCTAGCTGGTGACCTTGGCCTACTCTCCTTCTTTAGGTCTCAGCATTCCCGTTGGTGACAAGGGAGTGGACTCATTCACTGCTGCCAGCTTCTCCAGGCACAGTGAGGGTAAGGAGCAGCATCTGTTCCTGTTCAAGGAGCAGCCTTGGGTACGTTAATCACCATCACTAAGGAAGAGCCTAGTGTAAGTAGCAGGCTCTGGGCTGAGCATCTCACTTCCGTGATCTCCTCAACACACCTGAGTAGCACTATTTCTGTCTCCATTACACAGAGGAGAAAACTGATGTTCAGAGAGACTAAGTGACTTGCCCAAGTTGAACGGCAAAGAAGGGGCAGACCTGAGTCTGACCCAGACCCTGATGTGAACTTGGCTTCAGTCAGCTGTCAGCTCCCACCACCTCACCCCGTGTCATTCTCAGGCCCGCCCAAGACGCCTTGGGGAAGGGCCTGTCCTAGAATCATAGCCCTAAGATAGTGGTAAGCCCCCTGAGTTTTACAGAACTTAGAAAAGTACCCTTACTTTCACCACATTCCAGTCACAGAGTAGCCTGCAGAAGACCCTGTCACCTCCAGAGCTGGGCCCTGACCCCTGGAGATCTGCAGCAGTGTTGCTTAACGTCTTTGTAACCCCTTGGGAGCTGAGATCCCACACACATTCTATGAAGAGTGATGGGGTTCACCTGGCCCCCAGCTGAGCATTTCTTTGAACAGAAGTCAGCCTTTCATTGGAACATTCTCATCGACCAGGAAGATTTTTCTCAACCTTTAGTTTGTGGAGGTTTTTTTTTACAATATAAAATTATACATTCATTCCTTTATTCAAAAGTATTTATTATGTACCTACTCTACTCTGGGGACCATGGTAAATAAGACAATTTCCCTGCTGCTGTGTAGTCTAGCTTGCTTCTTCCAGTTAGACGTTGCTATAGGCCAACCTTCTGCACCGCCAGAAAAGACAGTGATGCAAACTCTGTGGGGCTCATGATGCGGCCTTCCCCTCTGCCCCTGCCCAAATTTCAGTCCCTCTGCGGCATTCTCAATAGGAGCCTGTCTGCACTTTGCTTGAATGCATTCAGCGATGGGGAGCTCCTCCCCCTTCCCAAATCCCCTGCCTTTTGTCCCCTCTGTCCCCTCACTGCTCATCCTTTATGTAGAGCTTAATTCTGTCTCCCCTCAGTCTCCACCAGGGGTCCAGGCCTGCCTCTGCTCTTCTTGTGACATGACAGTCAGGAGAGGTGGCACCCTAGCACCCTATCCTGGCCCCCAAAAATACACCAGGGGGAAGGAAATTTCATCTGCTTTTCTTTTTTTTTTTTTTAAAGATGACCGGTAAGGGGATCTTAACCCTTGACTTGGTGTTGTCAGCACCACGCTCACCCAGTGAGCAAACCGGCCATCCCTACCTGGGATCCAAACCCGTGGCCTTGGTGTTATCAGCACCACACTCTCCCGAGTGAGCCATGGGCCGGCCCCTCATCTGCTTTTCTAAGCAGTTGTCATCTGCAGGGGAGAAAGGTCCTAGACCCAGGCTGTGGCCCTCATCCCCATCACCTGCAGGCTTTGTAAGACCTGCCCAGGGCCACTGTGCTGAAGTGTGAAAAGTCCCCTGAGGTTCTTCTGTTCCACTCGAGTGACCCAAAGAGATGCGGCATGTGCCAGGGCAGAGGGCACTGTGCATGTAACAAGCCAAAATGTCTGGGCTCCCCACCCTGGCCACTATTCCCACACAACAGGCCCTAGTGAGTACCCAGGGGAGAGATAATGGGCTGCTGTTTAAAAGAATACAATAATAAAGCTCCTTCAGTCGCTTATGTCAACACTCTAGCTGAATGAGAGGCCAAAAGAGCCAGGCTGGCTCGCTGAGGAAGGTCAGTATTGACTCAGGCCTGTCTCTGGGGCCCAGCTCCAGCCGGCATGGATAGTGCTGCAGTCCAGCAGCAGCTCAAGCCAGACCAGCCCTCCAACCTCTGCTTATTGTACCCAGAATCTCAGCCTCTGTTTATCACCCTCAGGTACACAGCACTGGGCTTTCCTGGGCATGGGGTTATCTCCAAGGGAAGACCTGAAAATGGCCTTCCTGAGAGGACTGCAGGCCAGGGACCTTCTCACTATTCCAAATTTTCAAGAGCCTCCATACACATAGGTCTGAATCCTCAGCACAGAGTCCTCAATGCCTAGCCAGAAAGAATTTCTGCAGTCCCTAATCACAAAGTTGCCTTAACTTCTCATATCTGTTCTGTTGAGATGGGCTGAACCTGCTTTACTGGGCCCATTTTAAAGACAGCAGGTAGCTGGGGAGAGAAAGCAGGAGATGAGAGAGAACATACATGTGCAGGCCTACCACATGTCAGATACTGTATTAGGTGCTTCATATTAGCGCATCTAATGGTTAATGGTAGATATTATGAGCTCTACTTTACAGATGAAGAAACTGAGGCTTGGAGATATGCGATTGTCCAAGTGTGGAGCTGGGATTCAAAGCCAGATCTCTCCAACTCCAAGCTCCAAGTGCACCCACCGTGGTGCCCAGGGCCCAGAGAAGTCAAATGACCTATCCTAGATCACACGGCCACTTAGAGCAGAGATGGAATTGGAAACCTCAAGCCAGAGGCTCCCTCTGCCCCAGGCAGCACCTGTGGGAACGGTGTGTCCATAAGCATGTGAACACCCATGAACATGTGAACACGTGTGACATGTACATGCTGCTGTTTCTGCCACCAAAGCCCTCCATGGACCCTCTGCCTTTACTTTATTCCTATTGCTTTACTCTAATACCCCCCAAAAATATCCTGCCAAAGTTCTCCAAGAGAGCAGGGCTCAGGGTAGATTAACCTTCTCTAATACTAACAACTGGAGGCTGGCGAGATGGCCCACTGCCAGGTCTGAAAAATGACATTTATCATTACAGTTACTCCTCACGACTCTCCTCTGAGGATGGCATTATCATCCCCATTTTACAGTTGAGGACATTAAAAAGTTGGGAGAGAAGTAAAGCAACTTGCCTAAGAAGTCAAAGGCAAAGTCAGAATTTGAACCCAGCTCTTTCTGGTTCCAAATGTTGTGTTCTCAGCCACTGTTGTACACATGGCTGAAGGAGAACCCACAGCATAGCTATATATGCTGCACCAGCCACAAAAATGAGCACAGACATAAGCCCACCCCCTACACGCCCCCTAGAAAAACAAGAGGAGCCTAAAAAAAAAAAAAACACTGGAATAGGGCAAGTACAGAAAATGCAGCCTACACCTGGGGACTCTTCATGTCTTGGCCCTTAGTGTTCCTAGCAGCATCTACATCCCAGATCAGATGCCACTCACTGGGCGTGGGAAGACCTGGAGCGATTTTAGCAGGTCTGGAGATTTGGAGTCTGAATTGGCAGGCTAGGATGTGTGGAATGGCACCTCTGCCTGGGACTCCTGAAGGAGCCTCCTGGGACCGCTTCCTGCCTGCCCTGCTCAGCACAGACGCTGGGCCTGCTACCACCCTTCCTGTTTGGGAGCCTCATCCCCAAGCATGAATTCAGGGCACTTGGTCTTGGTGACACTGCCTTGCCCCAGACAGGCGTTAGACCTGATGTCAATCAGAGGCTGGGCCGGGGGCAGGGCGGGCCGTTTGAAACCATGCGGGCCTATCAACCTACCATAGGGCTGAGGTGGTGGAAAAGACTTAACACGTAACCACTAAGGATTGAGAAATGGCACCCAGAAGGGACCACTGCCACTGCTTAACAGTATCATAAGGGAACCAGCCCGGGGGCCACCTGCCTGTACACTGTCCCTCCCAGCCCGCCCCTCATAAACGTCTGGAGAAGGCACTAGGGCTAGAGACCCCTCACTCACCGCCTCCTTGCGACTCCTCACCCTTCAGTGGGCAGCTTTCTTAAGCACCGAGGAGAGGAAAGGCCATGGACCTTCCTGGGCTAGTCCTCCGCCGGCCTGGGCAGAAACACATCAGAAATACATTGTGACAAATGTTCCAAGTGTCCCTACGGATTTTGAGACTGGCTGGAGTCCAGGGAGTTGGGAACCGCCTCCCGACTGAGCGACCTTCGTAGGTGCTGGAGGCGGGGCGGGGTCCCCGCGGGGTGCACAGGCAGGAGGGGGCAGTGGGCGCAGCACCGCTTCCGGGGCCGGCCCCTGTCCCCGCCGCGGCCACCGGGTCCCTCCGGGCAGGCCCGAGTGCTGCGCCCTCTCGGGGACGCGAATCCCCCTGCGCCGGGCGGGCCACACGTGGAGGAAGGTCCCGCTCCAGGGTCGCCCTCCGTGCCTGCGCTCAAGGACCCTCCGCCCGGCGCGTGCCAGCCCCGAACTTCGGGCATGAAAACGCGTGCGGGGAGGCTGTCCCCTTGTCGCGGCCCTGGCCGGAGAGAGCTCGCCGGCCTTCCGGGGTACCCACCTGCCGAGAGGGAAGCCCGGGAGCGCTCGGAAAGGCCGCGGGAGCCGGGCCCGCCCTCCGCGGGAGGGACCTCGGCGCGGGGAACGACGAGGAGGGGCGGCGCTGACATGTTTGTGCAGCGCCGGCTTCACCTGGCTGCGAGTTTAAGGGTGTGGCCTCAGGTAGGACACAGCCAACACAGAGCCCGGGAAAAGTCGCCGGGGGGTGCGGGCGCCGCGCCGAGGAGCCTCTCTGCCCGAGGGGCTCCCCCCTGCCCAACTCTTTCCCTCCAACTGGTCGGCCGCGCCCGCGGCCACCTGCCTGCGCGCCCCACCGCCCTCGGTCACAGCGCACAGACCCGACCTGGAGTGTCCGCTGAGCGCCGGCTGTGTATAATTAACTCATTAATTTGTATTGCAGATCCACGCTCTGCAGCCGAGGCCAACTCTCCCTGACAGAGAGGTGCTGCCTGCGCCCACCCGCTCATCTTGGAGAGCCCAAAGTCCTAAAACCTCACACCTGGGCCTTTCTGTCCCGGCTGGACAAGCCCCTAAGACTGTCCTGGGGTAACCCCCTTGGGCAGGCAGGAGAGCAGGATTTAAAGGAATTCCAATCCCTTGCCAGACTTTGCTCAGTCCTCTGAATCCTCTGACCTAGGAATGCTAGGACCTTGGGAGAGAGAAAGCTTCCAGGAGCGCTGCACCTCCAAACAGAGGGTGGGGCCCGTTCAGGTGGCTTCTACCTGTGTTTTTGTTCCAGAACGGGCATCCCCTGTTTGGCCCCAGCAGTGCCCTGGCCTAAGATCAGGATGGCCGTTCTGAGTGGCTCACTCCTGGCTGCCCTTTGCCCTGCTTCTTTTGGAGTATGAGGGGGTTTTATGTTGGGGAGGAGGGAAAGGAGCCGCCTGCATGTCTCTTCCCCAAACAAGGAAGTGAGAAGACCTTTGCTGTCCTTGGCTTGGGCCCACAGAGAGGGCTGTGTGCTGCCTGAGTGCTGAGGGAATTCTGGTTTGGAAATTCAATACATCTGGATCCCAAATGGCTACCTTCAAGCAGTAGCTATGTGACAGGGATATTTTTTATCACTGTTGGGCACCTCGAAGTTCAGTTATTAATTGAGGTCACTATTGCCACGTATCATTTTTGTTTGCTGATTCTTTAGACATAGCATTGTTATTTATGGATAAATCATTTGCATTATGAGCTCTATTGCTTAGGCACAGTTTACTCTAAGGCTCCCACCAAATATAGAGCTAAGGTGACCCGAGGGAGCTTGCCAGCCCTGAACAGGTCTGCATCCTGTCTGGCTGCACCGCGAGTCCTGATGCCCTCAGCTTCCCCAGGGATGATATGGTGCCAGGTGGAAACGCTGGCCCTGTGTGCCCAGGAGAGTGGTGTGTGGAAGCCAGGGCGGCAACCACAGGACCTCCCTGCCCCCAACACACACACTTACATTTAGTCTCTGTTCTCCTCTCCTTATTCTGTCTTCCCCTCCTCCTCTCTGTCTTTCCCAAGAGGATTCTCTCTCTTTCCCCTGACCAGACAACACTGTAGGCCTGACCCTATTAGACAAATCCTGACCTCCTGTGGCCACCCAAGAGGCTGACTGCTGAGCCTAGGATGAGGGGGCCATTTGAGGGGGAGGGGGCAGGGGATACACGTATGGCTTTCCCCACAGATTACCCAGGGACATAGGTGCACTGGCCAATGCTGGCTATGGGAAGCAGGTTGTGCTGCATGAGGGAGGGGGTGTTGGTTGCTGAGGATTTGAAACCAACCATGAACCAAAGCATTATGTTGTTGAACCTAGAATCAACACCCTAAATCATTTTTTACTGACTCCCAAATGCATATGTGAATTATTTTCTTTTAATACAAATGTCCTATATACCAAAACCACCCAAAACCACAGGTCCAAGCAGTACTTTTGAACTGCTGAACTACAATAAAGTGCGAATATTAGAAAATTTTCAGAAATGAACTGGTATTTAATTTGGTTTGAATCTAGGCTTGGGTATCCCAGAATGTCTACTAGCCAAGTACCAGCCACACCCTGTGCGGAGTAAGTCTAGGAAACCCTAGGGTTCCCACCCTTAGGAACTGCAACGGGGTTTGGAGCCTCAGAGAGGCAGGGGCTCCCAAATAAGACTGACTAAGGAGGTAATGAATCCCCCATCATTGGAGGAATGCAAGAATAACTGTTAGTCAGATATGCCAGAGTAAGTTTCTGTACTGGATACAAGACTAGACTAGGGGACCTCTCGGGCCCATCACATGTCAATTTTCTACACTTCCAGTCTCATCTACACGTGTCTCAGCTGTACCAGGTTGGATGACCCCCTGCACATCGAGACGGATGGCACATGCAGAGTGAGTCCTGAGTGATTCATTCCTGTGTGTGACTCTCCCCCTTCCCCATTTTCCTCTGATCCATGCCCAGTTTAGCCCTGCCCAGGAGGAAAGGGCAGAATAACAGTGTAGGATGTGTCAGGAACAGCCTGGGGGACAGCGTCTCCTCCAGCGTTGATGTGCCTCCCTCTGGCCCTGTTCCCAGGCTGCCATGCTCAGCATGGGGCGGGCAAAGGGGGAACAAGGCACAGCCTCCTTTAAAGAGCTTTGGCTGCTGGCATAGGCCTTCTGGATGAGGGAGTTGTCCAGGCACTGACATTCTACAGATTGGGCAGGACTTGGCTCCAGACAAAGGCAGCAAGAACAGACATCTCAACATGGGAAATGGTTCTTGGAGACCTGGCAGTCTGGGGCACTGGCAGACCAGTATGGTCTGGGAGGGCATGAGGGTGGACACACTGGGCAGGGCAGACACTTGTCAGTGATCTCCCAGCCTGTGGCTGTTGGGGCCTGTTGTAACAGCCTGGGCTGAGAGCCTGGGTTAGGGCCAAAGGGGAAAGATAGGATCGACTTGTGGTTTAGAAATGCAAACACATCCTTTCCCTGCACCTTTATGCTCCATGACTTGAAAAGCTTGCTGGGGATCAGGAGCGCTGCTAACAAGCTTACTCCTTCCAGGGCTCCTTTCTCTGATGACTCTGCCCTCCTCTAATAACAGTAATAACAGTGCCTGCCAATTACTGAATACTTCTGATGGGCCAGGCCCCATACTGAGCTACTTACAAATATTGTCACTTACTCTTCAGAAGAACCCTGGGATGTAAATGCTATACTACTATTATTCTCATTTTACAGATGAGGTAACTGAGGCTCAGGGTGGCTAAGGAAATAGGTTAAGGTTTCATAATTACTGCTATAGACTGGATGTGGGTATCCCCTCTCTAAATTCATATATTGAAATCTAATCATCAATGTGATGGTATTAAAAGGTGAAGACTTTGGGAGGTAATTAGGTCCTGAAGACAGAGCCCCTCATGAATGGAATTAATGCCCTTATGAAAGAGGCCCCAGAGAGTTCCCTGGCCCCATCTACAATCTGAAATTATATTGAAAAGTCAGCCATGTATAAACCAGAAAGCAGAACTTCACTAGACACTGAATCTGCCGGCTCCTTGATCTTGGACTTCTCAGCTTCCAGAACTGTGAGAAATTAATTTCTGATGTTTATAAGCCACCCAGTCTATGGTATTTTGTTACAGTAGCCCAAATGCATTAAGCCAGTTACTGAATGGAGGAGCCAGCATTTGAACCCCAGTGTATCTGATCCTGAAGCCTATTCTCTTAACTCTCGGAGATCCCTGGTTCCAAGGACTGTCTGAAGAGTTGGTGCAGAGTGGCCAATTCTGACCTTAATATAAGGGATTTATGTTAAAGGAAGGGTGAGTCACGTGAGACATGGAGAGATGGGGGGATACTCTTCCCTCATTTCTGAGCAGGGCATAAGGACCCCTGAATGGCATTGGGTGTGAGGGGCAGAGGGGTCCTCAGTTTACCCCACTCTCACTGAGTCCCCTGCTAGGAACCAGGATCTAGGTTTCCCTAGTCATGAGCAAGCACCCTGCATGAAGTCCCTGCATCAAGCCATCTGTCCTTTGCAGACCCACAACAGACCCAACAATGTTGGTCTCACATGCAGGGATGCCAGAGAGGTGGGGTCTGGCACACCTGCTGGCTACTTGGCAGGAAGAACCCCATGGAACATGGGCTCTAGGAGGGGTATGTGCCAACTCCCCGGGAGCCCCCAGCCCTAGGAGAGGACACTCTTTGGAGAAGATCCCCTCCTCCTCTCTTCTGCCCATCACTCCTCACCTTGATGGGTAAGGAAGATCATCTCTCTCTCTGCCAATGGGGCCAAGAGGTAGGTGCAGACCTCTGAGGGTCTGGAAGCGTGAGTTAAGGGAGCTGACATTGCTGGGACTTTGGGGTCCTCAGGCAGGAGGCAGTAGACAGTCCACCTGCAGAGACCATGGGCTCTCGCAGGATTGGAGCCTCTCTGGACTGTCCGCATGTACTCAACCTCAGTTTCTTGATGTGCATTATTGGGGAAAGAGAACCCCTCTCCCTTGGGAAGGTGGTGGGTGATGAAATCTAGAGCATTAGGGTACAGGATTCCTAAGAACCAGCACCCCCAAACAGGGTGAGAGGTTCTTGAC